AATTCTTCTCTTCTCCCAATTAGGTGACGAGAAAAGTCGTTGTCGATATACCATTCTGAATCGTACTCTTCTTCATGCATAACCTGCAAAATTAGAGAGTTTTAGGAACCCAAACCATCTTGGGTCCTTGTAAGGATTTCAGTTGTACAGGAAAGATTTTATCTTTATCAACCCAAAAATATTTTCTTTTCAAAACATGATTCTTCCCCTTTTCGTTTTTGAAAACTTCCATTTTATTATCACAAAGATTAATATCAACCCAATTATTCTTTTGTTGAATGTACTCTCTGAATTTCAGAGCCATTCTATTTAAAAATGTATTTTCCTCCTTTTTCAAATTTGCTTTGTATTCCTCGAGAGTTATCTCTAGTTCTGAAACAACTTTACTTTTACCCTTAAAATCATTTGATTTGTTAAGATATTTTGAAAACTGTGTTTGTGGAAAACACTTTGATTTTGGCTTTTCAATTGGTTTCGAAACTTATGATTTTGAAGAAAAACATGACTTTGGTTTCAGAATTTGAGAGAAAACAACTCTTTGATTAGAAGATTGTTCTGACTTGACAGAACTTTGATTTGAATTCTACTTTTTCCATAAACGCTTTCTTTCATCCAGATTATTTTTATATCTAGCATTCATTTGCCTTTTCTTTGCAATTATTTCTCTTCAGCAGATTTACGAATATTAGATTTCTGTTTTTCCTTTCGGATTAGCCTTTTGCTTTGTTCCGAACAGGTTTCATTGGAAACATCTTTTGTTTCGCTTGGTCCGGTCATTCCATAACAAAGGTCCACACAATTCAGTGGTTTCGAAATGTATTTTCCTATAGTTTCCCAAGAGGTCATTTCTGAAAGACCTTTTGTTTCGTCTGCACTGTTGATTGGCTTGGACCAGAAGAAATCATCGCATCTGTTTGTATTATCATTATTAACCAAGGACATTAGTTTTGAAGTATCATTTTTGTTCAGTGCTGTTTAACAAAATCCTGATTTTGTACAGTTTGGACTTTCGGAAAAACAGTTGTTTTTTTCTTTCAAAACATTGGAACCTTTGTTTTCAACAATTTAAACGAATTTGATTAAAGTTTTGTTAAATCAGGTTTTTCTTAGGTTCCTCAACATTTTTCACAAAAACGGAACAATCAATTTCATCCTCTACTGAAATCTCACTCATATCACTTTCATAAAATTCAAAAACGTTTTCGGAATTAAAAGTATTTTCTGAATTTAAGAAAGGGTAAACTCATTTTATGCAGACCTTTCCCTATTTCACAATCCATATGCAATTGAGTAATATTGAAATATAAATGCTTAGAAATTAAACAAAAAATATTCCTTTGTTTCAAAATTGCAAGATGTCTCTTTTATGATAAATAATATCATCACATGATCTAGTAACCTCTAATTCCAAAGCCTCTATTCTTAATCTCTCTTTACATTCAAATGCTATGATGTTAAGTTGATCAGTCATATTAGAATTACTGAGACGATTTTGTTTTAAACTATCACTAAAATTAGAAATAGTATCTTTTTAAATCATCTAGTTCAAAATCATAAAGAGAGACATGAATGTTAAGAGATTTCAGTATAGAATGTACCTTATCGACCACCTTATCGCATTCTTTCACATGCACCAAAACTGTCTTCGCAGCAAAACAGCTTTTGAAAGCTTGACCACCTTCAGTAGCATACCCTCTTTGTTTCGAAACTCCACTCTGAACCATTAAACACCTTCCTTCATAACCCTATAATTCTGACTTTACCATAAAGCACCTGCCATGTGTGGGTTTCCTGACCTCATCATCCTTCGAGGCTGTGGACCACACCTCGACTCGTGCATCATCATTATTGCCTTCATGTACGATCAACATCGGCTTCACATTTGATGCATTCTTTCTCTTGACTTCCTATATCTTCCGAAGATAGTAGGCCTCGTCCTTTTCACTCTCTTTCTTCTCTTTCTATTTCCCTCAACATGCATTCTTTTGCAAAGTGGTTTTTCCCATGATAGTAATTACATTCGTAACCTGAATCACCTGGAAGCTTCTTTTCCTTCTTTTCTTTGTCATTTTAAGAGTTCCTAAAACTCTCATCTCTAGACTTTTCAGAACTTGAATTTCCCTGCCTGTATTTGTTTCAGTAACGAGAGAAATTCTTCTTGAAGAACTTCTTAGGGTTGGATATCATCAGTGCCTTGTCTTCTTTTAAGATTTCATTATCTGAAAGGTCAAATTCTGAATCATCTTCTGATGTCTTCTTTCCCTCCACAACCAATGCCAAGGATCCCATGCCAGAAACAAGCTTTACTTCCTTAGTCACTTCATCTTCGTGAGATCTCATAATTCCCATGAGTTTGGCCAAAGAACAGATTTTAAATTGTTCACGTGCCTTCACAATTGCCATAGTTGCTTTCCATTCTGACCTAAGACCGTTCATGAACGTGACTTTTTGTTCAATAACACGTCGCTCAATATTATATTTGAGCATTCTATTGAGCAAGTGGTTGAAGCGATTGAATGTTTGATCTAACTTTTCATCGAGTTTTGAACAAAATAATCAAACTCGGATAAAAGAGTCGTTGTAAAGAGTGTTCTAGATCAGCATCTCCCGAATACAACTCATTTAGCCTATCCCATATAACTTTAGTAGTACGTATCATATGTGCTTACAAGACAAAAAGTGTCCAATAGAAGAGCAAACCATATAATTCTTATTGCCTTTATGTTGCTCATTAGCTTGTACTTCTCATTACCTTCCTGGTCACTGTATGCGAGTACGTTTCATGTATCATTGCATGCCATATAGTGGAGTTGTGCTCTTCAATTCCAAAAACGTAATCTTCAAAGTGCAACGCCCATACTTCATAATTTTGTGGAAAGAGGATCAGAATTCTTGTCGTGGATCCAATACTACTATAGAGATTGAACAAAAGAGAATGAGGATCTTCGTTCTGCATATTGTCAGAAATTCATAAAAACAAGTATAGAACTAGATATGTAAAACTTCAATTAAGTTCAAGGGATATTAAGAGATCTAGATCTAGAGTCTACAATCGACTAAGATGATTGAGACAATAAGAACAGATCCAAGAAAAACGTAAAACCCTAATAGAACTCGACAGAAGAATAGCATATTACACTATCTCCTACTCTGATACTAATTATGAGAAAAATAATTAAGATCGATAGATTCTATAATAAAGAACGTGAATTAAATGAAAAGAAAACAAAGATGACAATGGTGCCGAATGCTTTGATTATAATAGCTCAAGAAGAGTTCACAATGAAAGAACTTCTCTATGAGCGCTAGGTAGGGCTACCAAAAGTCTTAATCCTAATGATACATGCAAGCAATATATATAGTGTTGGACTAGATAGCTAAGTTGTGAATAGACAGGCCCAAACCGGAATAAAAATAAACTATAATATGCATACATTTAACACAATAGTATTAAATCCAACAGCTTCATCAGCAATATATGTCAGTAAGGCAACCATGAGGGGGATGGAGTACACCTGGTGAACACGTAATTCAAAAGCCCCTACAGGTTGTGAGCCTGCCAGCGTTCCACTAAATTGTCTAGAATAGTCTGTGGTCATCATCTATACTTTGCTAGATGACTGGATCAGCTTTTAATCAAGGCCTCTCATCATTTATTTCATCTTTCATCATCTATATCATATATCCATCTTTACCCAACATAATTATAGTTATAAAATACATATACAGTTTAAATAAAGTAAAACATGTATAAATCGTTCATCCAACATAGATATCAAGAACACAGATAATAGACACATACAACACGTAATTTATATTAAGTACTTCATATCTATATATAAGATAAAAGTAACTATGCGCTCACTTATTAAAGTGATGAATCAAAATTCAGGCAACGCTTCACTTCTAATAATTGACTTTTCCATTGACGAACCCTAGTATTATTATCAGTAAGTCTTAGTCTATTATTTATTGCGATTAATTATTAGTTTAGATTCATCATTAATCCAAAGTCTACTTCAAGATCTATAAAGTAAGGAACAACCAGGTAGGATCATATCGGAGGTAAGGTCCGTTTGGTATACGAAATATACTGTTTGAAAATTCCACTTTAAACACTTCACTAAATCACAACCTAAACATCATCCCTGTAAATAGATCAATCGGTATAATACCTTTGAATCACTGATAAATCTTGTTTATAGGTTCATAATAATGATAATAAACTTAAACATAAGTTATATTTAAAGTATCGTAAGCATAACTCACTTACAAGGGAGTTTAGCGAGGAACCAAAACGAAAGTATACGACCGGCTTGGGCACCACAACCTTCGTGCGGATTTAGCAGAAACGCATATTCAACGTTCGAATGAATCTCGTTGTCGACAATTTTATTAAAGACAAGTTGTTTAAAGATACAAACATTGAATCATAATCGTTTGAAGGAGATCCGCAGGAGGATTTTGATGACTTGTCGACAATGATTAAACATCACATATTATTATACTATGTTTCAATTATGTTTTTTTTTAATTAGTATGTATTTCGTTTAATTAATAAAGTATTTTCCTTTTATTATTTTTAATTTATTACATTTTATTCCATTAAAAAATATACGGGAGCATATAACATGACACCCACCAATTTTATGGGGTGTAATAAAAAATAACCTTGCACTGAAAATCATTTGTAAACATTTTCCTAAAAATCATTTGTAATCGTAAGAAGTAAACATTTTCCTAAAAATTATTTGTAAAATTCCGAATTTAAACTCTTACTACTCACATAATGTAACAAACAATGCCAAGTGCCAAGTCAGCACTTGACTAGTTGACTCACTGCCACAATTCCATACGTTTACAAAACCAAATATATATTTGGCTCCCTTTTTACATTACATTTTTACCCTTCTTCTTCCAAACTATTTCACATCCTGCTTTCTGAAATAGAAAACTTCATACCACTTAAAACTTACAACTACTACAACCACCATCGTTTTTCACAGGGGTTCTTGCATTGTCACAACCAGCGGACTCCTAACAACATGCTTCCCGTCCGACCACTCTATCGACCCACTCTTTGTAATGGAACTTCCGGCGGACAGTTTCATCGCCACCACTTTCACCCTAACCAAAAAGTTCAGTTTCTGCCCCTCCCTCCTGAAAGCAAGCTTCATCGGCTCCACTGTCACGTTCATCCCTCTCGGTGGCTTTATGCCCACAGTGTAAACAGATTTTGCTTCACCCACATTCGTCACTGTTCTGATGAAATGTGTCGACATTTTCCGCTTCCCGTATAGTTGGAACACAGCTGTCATTGACGGAAAATTAAGGTTTCCGGTGTGTCCTGCTTTTTTTGCCCGACTGCAATCGGCGTGCTTCCTGGTAATCACTTGGATGTTTTTGGTTGTGTAATTGGAATTACAGAGGAAATCAATGTAATCGTATGAACTGATGTCGTAGACTAATCCTGGATCCATGGCTTTTTGTGGGTGAACGTGTCCAGCCCCAAAATCCATCACTGTGGATGAGTTTCCGGTGGATTCATCTATCATCGTTTCCCCACGATTGTCGAGTGTGTAAGCTGTTGTTATCAATGCCGATTTTATCGCAGCTGGGCTCCATCCTGGGTGGGCTGCCTTCAACAGGGCGGCGAGTCCGGAAACATGAGGGCAAGCCATGGATGTGCCGGATAAAATGTTGAATTCTGTTTTCCGGTTGTCTGATGCGAGGCCGGAGGGGCCTACTTTGTCCGGCCATGCTGCGAGAATGTTGAGTCCTGGAGCGATAAGGTCTGGTTTCAGAATTTCCGGCGACTCGGGGTTTGGTCCACGGGCTGAGAATGACGCGACGACGGGTGCAGGGCGGACGTTGATTCTGGTTCCTTTGAAGATGATTGTGGCTTTTGGGGGAGACTTGGATTTTGAAGCTGACGTGATGTAACGTCTTATCTCGTCGCCGGAGGATGCACCGACGGAGGTAGCAGGTAATACGTGGCAATCTGCGACTAAACCTTCACCATCGAAGACGCCGTTTGCTAATATCATCCCCATGCCGCCGGCTTTCTTAACGACTTCGCCTTTTTGAGCTCGTGAATTGATTCCTCTGTCGCATAAGACGATTTTGCCTCGTACGGAATTAGGGTCTAGAGAGCCTTCTAGACATAAGGATGCAGAGTAACCGTCGCCACCTTCGTTCCCGGCGTAAATTAGTGGGTAGAGACGGTGGTGCGCCAATGCGGGGCCACCGTAGACGCTAACACCTGGAATTAATTTACCGTTTCCAAGCTTTACGTCGGCGGGGGAAGTCACGGTCAATTGCTCCTGCTCCGACGGTAGTAACCCATGGTGCAATGTTTGTGACTGTTAGCCCACCAGGACCACCGTTTCCGGCGGAAGCAGAGACAAAAACACCGTGATCGGAGGCGCCAAAAGCACCGATTGCAATTGCATCGAGGTAGTAGGGCACAACGACGCCACCAACACTAAGGGATATAACGTCTACGCCGTCGTTGACTGCGGAATCAAAGGCCGCGAGGATGTCTGAGTCGAAGCAACCCGCGCTCCAGCAGACCCTTGTAAGCAGCGAGACGAGCTTTCGGCGCCATTCCAGCAGCGACACCACGGGCGTAACCGAGAGTTGACGCCGGAAAAACATACCGACCAGCGGCGATTGAAGCCGTATGAGTTCCATGACCATCGGAATCTCGCGGCGACCGATGCTCCACCGTTTCGTTCATTTTCCCATTCGTTGATTCGTATCCGGCAGAGAAGTACTTAGCTCCGATCAACTTCCGGTTACAAGACGTCGCCGGGAAGCCTCCGGAGGCAACACAACTTCCCTTCCACTTAACCGGCACCGGACCTAACCCCCTATCGTTAAAACTCTCCCTCTCAGGCCAAATCCCAGTATCCAAAACTCCTATAACCAGATCGGACCCGAAATCCGACTCCTTCAACAACCCTGCACTATCAGACGTCTTAAGCCCTAGAAACTCCGGCGAACGCGTGGTATGAAGATGACGAACTTGTTCAGGAATAACCGAGAGAACTCCAAAAGCAGATTCAAGCTTGGAAGCCTCTACAGCAGAAAGCTTAGCTGAAAAGCCATGGAATACTGTGTCGTATGTGTGAATAATGCGAGAAGAAGGAAGACTCCGGTCGGAAAGAGCAGCGAGGGTAGAGTCGTACCAGTGTTTATGAGTCGGGAATATTGAAGGTTTAGCGTCGTTCTGAACTCGAACAATGAATGTGGTTTGGCGTTGTTGGTCTGTAGCAGAAACAGTGAGGATAAGAAGAAAAAGGTAAAGTAAGAAGTGGAAGTAAGCCATGGAAGAGATTTAAATTTTCCGGCCACCGTTGGAGGTGGTGAATTTGGGTTGAAATGAAAGTGAAGGTGAAGAATGGGTATTTGAAATTGTTGCAGTGGCGGTACATTGTGAGCTGGAGTGAGTGGGTTTGTGTCAGCGTGTACTCATGTTTCAATCCGTCCCCACCAAAATAAAAAATTCAAACTACCAAATTTAACATCTCATAAATACAAACTTTAACTTTTATATTTCTATTTTTACATAAAAAAAATTGTGTAATATAGAAATATTAAATTAAATATAAGATATGGGTTGAAACTTTAAAGACTTTCGTTATATGTCAACCAGTCTTGATTTTTTTTTTTTTTTTTTAAATACGATAGTGTATGCGTGTCAAAAAAACATTTATAAAAAGAATTGAAACATATTGAGACAAAGAAAACAAAAACCTATAAAAATACTAATAAATAAATATTCATTCCATTACTCCGGATAAGTTATAATAAACTGTGGTCGCTGGTATAGTAGATATTTATATTTATTTACTTAAATGGCCCCTTCATTTTGCTTAAACTTCATTGTGAGAAAAAAAAAAACTAATAGGGTCATTAATGTCCATGACTGTTTAAACTTTAAACTCAATTTAGTTCAATAAATGAGGATTATACGTGTTTAAAACTACCATAAGGTACGTAGGAATTATGAAAAATGTAAGTGTAGAAAAAGTATAAAACAAAACGGGAGAAAGTGAAGATTTGCGAATAGCTGAGGGGGTATTTACGTAAGAATGTATAGAGCTGCCGACACGTTTTTCAAGCATTGGGGTAGGACTGTTCGCACACGTGACACTCATTTTTTTAATTGTTTATTTTGATCAGTGTCATGGTCTCCATGGAATATATATATATATATATATATATATATATATATATATATATATATATAAAGGATCAAATGAGAACACCTAAAAGGTTGAGAACGCGAGAACAATTCTGGACCAATCAAATTATCAGGGGATACTAGTAATTGTATATTTTAATTAAATTAAAATAAAATAAATTTCAATCAAATTCCCTTAAATTTAGGATCAGTTACCAAAAAAGGAATAAATATTCAAATTTTTATTTTTCTTATTAATGGAATATAAAAAACATTTTTATCAAAATTTATTTTAATATTGAAAAAAAAAATCTTTAAAAAATCAATTTTTTTTTGTTCAAAAAAATGAATAGAAATCGAACACCAAATTAGTACATTTGTATTCATAAATGGTTCTTTTTTTCAAAAAACCTGATACTACTCCAATCAAAAATAAATACACATCAATTTACAAGTAATCCAATTTCTTTTTTTAGTCAGTTGAAAGTAAAAAAGATTGTAAAAATTATTATTTCTCCACAAAAAGAATACCTCTAATCATAAATAAATATACTCATTAACACATGCTTACACTGTTATTCACAAATGAATACATTCCTATTAACAAATAAGTACATTGTTATTCAGAATTGAATAAATGAATACCTCTAATCATAAATAAATACATTCATTCAATGTTATTCACAAATGAATACACTGCTATTCACACATGAATGCACTGCTATTCATTCACTATTATTCACACATGAATGCACTGCTATTCACAGATAAATACAATTTTTCATTCTTCTATTTCCTCTCACACTCCTTTATTTTTGTCCTGTCTTCGAGGTGCAACAAAAACACCCCCACTAGAGGTGTTTGCTAGTGGTTTCCAGCTAGCCAAGAGCAATAACCCCTTCCATTTTCTCCCATTGTTTTATGACACACCAAGCAACCCAAACACCCCCTGTTGTCGTTTTCTTTCTGCTTCCTCCCCCTCTCATCGACAGTAACTGGAACAAGAGAACGAAGTGATGAAGAGGTTGCCAGAATAGCCCCTACCACTCCACTACTGCGATGAACCACCAAATCGGTGGAGGTGCTCCATATTGTTCTTTCTTCGCTCCTGAAACAATTTCATACTTCATCATTTCATGTTCTTGATAGAAAACCCTAAAATCAGAATTAAATACAATTAACAATCAGTTAAATGAAGCAAATTTAGTAAATGAAGAGACTGAACAAAATACAAAATACATATGAATTTCTATAATTGTAATTATATTCATAAATGAACTCGTCTCAGGCACACGGAATTGAAACAGATAAAAACTGAAGCATCGATCTTTCTTTAAACAGAACCATTACCAGTCCCAAACTCGTTTATTTTTCATTCCAACACTTCGAACCGGACAAGCATCAGTTTCTCGAAGCAAATAACTTCCATTTTATTTTGTTTCAGATCTACCAACTGAATCGATTTAATACCATAACCATTCGAATCTCAACCACAACATATGCAAACATACATATGTAATACGAAAAGGTAGAGATTCGGATATCTGGCGGAAAATCAAAATATACAGATCAAACGAGTCTCGTCAATCCAAACTTGGGCAAACTATTAAAATCGGAAAAACAAAATTTTGATCATCAGTGATGCACACAATCGAAGCAAAGAATCACGCAATCGAGTGGCCTATCGATGAAGGCATGAGGCTTATCATTGTATATATACAACGATTATGCTCGTATTCACTAATCACCACATCATGCTCCATTGTAATATCATGACAGTTTTGTCCTTGGTTCTTTCTAAAACTACGGTTCACTCTCCCCAACTACTAAAATTGAATTTCTTCGTCATTAATGATTAGTCAAACAAAATATATGATCAAAGATCTAGAAATTCATACCTAACCCTAGCGCCGATCTTCGTTGGACTTTCTTCTTCTGAAGCGAAAGTCGATGTCGGATCGTCGATGATTGTCGTGGAACTGGAATCCAATGTCACTGATTTGATACGTGGATTCAAACCTGAAGTTGGGGTAAGACGGCAGTGGAATGATCGACGGGAAGAGAGGAAAGAAAAAGGACCTGAATTCATTGAGAGAGACGCTTGTTTTGAAACCCTAGAGAGAGATCGGTGGAGATAAAGATATGGGATTATGAAAGGAAAGAGGAGAAAGGGTGAGAAATTGTAAGAAATAGGTAATTTTTCAATTCCTATTATGCCTTTCTGTCAATTTAAAAGTTACACTTTAATGCCTGTAGTTTTAGAATTTATCATAAAGCGTCCATTTAATAATAGCCTTAGATCTTAATATTTAAATGGTTCAGATTTGTTCTCGCGTTCTCAACCTTTTAGGTGTTCTCATTTGATATGGTTAAATTCATGTGAGACGATCTAATTTTGTGAGACCGTAAGACGCATTTTTTTATTTTTTTAGTTAATTCAAGTTCCAAAAATAATATTTAAAAAAAGATTTTTTTTAATTTTTCTATTTATTTTGCATTTTAAAATTATTTTTTAGAATATGTACAGTGTATTATTCTATTAGAATATTTCACGTATTTTTTAAAAAAAAACGAGATTTTTTAATTTTTTTTATTTTTTTTAGTTAATTCTAGTTCCAAAAATAATATTTAAAAAAAAATTTAGATTTTTCCATTTATTTTGCATTTTAAATTTATTTTTTATAGTATGTCAGTGTAATATTCTATTAGAATATTTCACATATTTAAAAAAAAAAAAAAAAAAAACGGGATTTATTTATTTATTTTTATTTATTTTTTATTTTTTTTAGTTAATTCAAGTTCCGAAAATAATATTTATAAAAAGGAATTTTTGGATTTTTCCATTTCTTTTGCATTTTAAAATTATTTTTAGATTTGGTCACACGGTCTCACAAAATTAGAATGGTCTCAAATGAACCTGAACATATATATATATATATATATATATATATATATATATATATATATATATATATATATATATGTGAAAAATGATTTATTAAGATAATTAACTGTTTGATATGTTCACATCTAGGTAATTATTTTTTTTATACATATCTAGGTAACAAACTTGTTGAAAGTGTTCACATATGACCATTATGATCTGCTATAGCAGGTTAAATCTTAGATGTGAACACTTTCAACAAGTTCGTTACCTAAATGTGTACAAAAAGTTACCCAAATATAAACAAAACAAAAAGTAAAAGTAAATTATGTGACAACCCAGAATTTCCATTTTGTACTACATATCAAGTCAATAGAAGTCAGAACAGTTACTTTTAACTTTCGGATGATTTGGGATAAGTTTGAACATTTTATGATTAACACTTTAGGAGATGCCAGTAGAGGGGATGTTATTAGGGTTATTGCGCAACAATGACATTTCATACTCCAAGAAATTGGAATTATACGACCCAAACATAGAGTTTGCGGTCCAAAACCCTAGGGGTATATATATATATATATATATATATATATATATATATATATATATATATATATATATATATATATATATATATATATATATGGTCCTTAGCCATATTTATTAATTTGTTCTATTTCCAACTAGAGAAAAGCCAAATTCCCTCTCACGGATCTTCGACCTTTTGTCCCAAATCGTGAGTACTTCTATCTAAGTGTATTATAGGGCTTGATATGTGTCTAATAACCTAGAAATCATATGAAAACAACAAGATCAAAGAGTTTACGGCCCAAGAACACCTTGGACCGTGAACCCTTCTTTAAGGGCCAAAAGTGTGCCCTAGTCCCTTCCTTACCTTGTGAAACTAGCCTAGACTCGTACCCTAATGTGTGTAGGACTTGAAAACACCAAAAACACCATGCCCATGAGAGATTACAGCCGTAATCTCTAAGGGATTTGGTTCTAGGGTCGTGAACTCCTCAAAGGAGTTGAAAGGTGCCCTAATCTCTTCCAAGGACTAAGCCATTAAGTAGCAATACTTCTAAGGGACATGTAAGACTTCAAAACACCAAATAAACTAAGGCTTAGGAGCTTACGGTCGTAAACTCATTGTTTTTATGGTCTTGGAGAGTACACTGAATAATGGGGTCCTTTGGAACCCTATACCCACTAGCCTTGTCCTACAACAACTTAGATGCAATCCTTAGGGCTTATAACACTTATATAAGGTGTTTATCATGTTCTAGGATGTCTTAACATTTTCAATTGGTAGTTTAAGACTAATTGGGTGCATATATGTGTGATTATATGTTAACTAGGATCTTTGGGTGTGTACAAGTTAGCTAGGATCTTTGGGTGTGTACAAGTTTTTACTTGACACTTAGCAATCCTACACCGTTCAGTTCATTCAAACCACCATCTACAAGTGAGTTCATACCTCTTAATCAATGTTTTAAATGATTTTAAATGCTTTAATGGGAGGGGGAGAATACAAGTAGAAAACAGCATGTTATAGAATCAATCACATGTGATTTATAACTGTGTTTTCATCCAACCGATTTCACATGCTTCAAAATGTGATGTATGAAATGGTTTCCTATCTTAAAAATACTTTGTTATCAAATGTATTACTTTTGAAATGTTTATTAAAATGACATCAAGTCACTGTTAATTATTGTTCAAAACTCTTAAATGTCTTACAAAACCATTTTCATCTTCTAGATCAAAACTATATCTATACACTTATGTTCTTATATATGTATTGATATGATAGCTTTCATCCTTCATTCAGTTTTCCACACTCTTGTGTAGCAAGGGTGTATAAACCTGCTTGGAAAATCAATTACCTTCCAGTTAACTATTATAGGGATAGTTATGAGATACAAAACATTACTCCTATTACAAGGAATTACACCAGAGTCAGTTCATTCATGAGTCTATACTATACATTACATGTTACATGAATACGTCTACATCGATACGCTTACATGAATACATTTACATATATACATTTATTTGTATACACTTACATGGATACTTGTACCTAGATTCAATATGATGAGTTACTAGTACATATTTGTAAAGTGTTCTGCCTATCCTAGTACAAAAGGATAACTAGACGGGACTAACCATTCTGGAACCCACCTGTTAGAAACAGAGGTAATGGACATCTACGGATGCCTACTGTTGATACTTATATTAGGGGTACCTTTACGGGACTAACCATTCCTTAAACCTGCCAGCTACAGAGGAAAATGAACAATCTACGGATGTTCAAGGTTATACATTTCGGCAGTCGCGATGTCGAGTTGATCCTAATACAAAAGGATAACACTTACATGGCTATATTTTTCCTATTACTTTATTTTGTGATACATTCACATAAACGATGACGTAGATTAGGTACTATTAGTAATAGTTAAAAAGAGGGAAAACTATATTTGTTATAGCAAAACATATAGGTCTTGGTAGAAGACTACTTTCAAACATACAGGTCTTAGTAGAAGACTACTTTTAAACATACAGGTCTTGGTAGAAGACTACTTTCAAAATATTCGGGTCTTGGTAGAAGACTACTCTTATACTAATAGGAAATATGGGATTTTCTAGGGTTTTTATACTTATATCAATTGTTTCATTCAAAGATTTACATGGCATTCATAACAACTTTCCAAAACAAGACAATGACACTTAAATACTTATGAATTCACCAGCTTTATGCTGATACTCTCTTTCAAAATAACTTGTATTCTCAGGTCACCAGTAGACAGGTATGATGGCCAGGTTTTGAGAAGACGGAGCACAGACAAGACTCGTCTTTTATTTTGATTACATATTTTGGTGTCTTATTACTATCAAAGAACACATTTGTATTAAATCTTTACTTTTAATGCAATGGATGATGTTGTTGCTTGTTTACTACTTTGCATTGTTGTGATACTGTACATGACATCCTCCACCCCTGAACGTTTCCGCCGTTCTTGGTTTTGGGGTGTGACAGATTGGTATCAGAGCATTGTTTATAGTGAATATAGTATATATCAACCCATAAAAGATATACTAACTATAAATACATTGGGATTAAAACACTCTGACTAAGAGTTTATACTTTTAAATAGTAAAATATTTAAGTAAGTATACGTGCCTGCATTCATACTAAAATCGGTGTCACAATGACAAGAACAAAAGTATTACGATTGTTGAATATCACAAGTGAGCCTGGGGATATATGGTCAGTCTTTGGAGTGGCATATCCTGATCAACTATGTTGGTCCAAGGAGTGATTAACATATGCCCAAGAATGGTTGTGATATGGCAAAAAGTCTAAAAACTTACTAACACATCCACAAAGAAATACCATAAGGGTATTTGGTCTTACTGTAATTATCTTAGTTAGTTCGTCTAGTTAGTTATTTCTTATATCCCTTTTCTCGCGTAGATATCATGGCGGGATTTCACCACGGCGAAACGTACTTCCCGAACCAAGGCAACGCTGGATGGCTAGAGGAAGAACCGGAAGATGATCACCAAATCCCTTTGGATGATCAACATGCCGAAGGCTTCTTTGATCGTTCTGTCTCGGAGCCTGGAGTCAACAACCTACCTCCAGCTGCTCAAAACCCAATCCTGAACCCCCATCCCACATTTCAAGGACCCACACCTCTGTGGGCCACAAACTTGAATACATGGAGCCAGGAACGGGGTCAACCTATCCCCTACAACGGAGACAAAAGCTTCTACAACCTCACTGAGGGAGGTTCTGCTGACAGGGTCATACCCATCATGGTTCGTAGGATTTCTCAGAACACAATATTGGGTCAATCAACTATCAATCGAGTCTTGGAGATTGATGCCAACTCTGGTGTTAACACTATCTACATTCGCCAACTAGAGTCTACTCAGGAAAGGACTCTGGTCCGCAATGCAGCTCTACAGAGAGAACTTGTTGAAACCCAAGCTGAAGTTAGGTAACTTCGAGCTCAGCAAGTGAGAGCTGACAGGCGTATAAGGGACATAAAACGCCTACTGTCGGGATCAAGAACTCATGCTAGAAGTTCTCGTCGCCGATAGAATCTCATCGACTCATCTTTTGGATATAACCTAGTTTATGTAAAAACTTTGGTCTAATTTCCTATCTTTGTAAATCTTAGACCTGTTTGGTCTTG